TCTCACCATGTTGCCCAGGCTGGTCTTGAACCCATGGGCTCAGGCAATCCTCTTGCCTCCCCCTCCCAAAGTGCTGGGATTACAGGCATGAGCCACCACACCCAGCCAAAAACTAAAGAAGGCCTGAGTTAGATGGAAGTAACCTTTGCTATAAGCTGAATTATTCATTTTTAATTTTTAGTGTTATACATGGGACCTAAATTAGACACTGCTGAGTCCTGTACAGTCTTACTTATAAATAAAGTACTCATTGAATTTAAATCATGTCCAACATTCAGATTCCTTTTTCAGATGTGTTGACTCACATTAGAAACTGCTCAGCTGCTGGGCTTAGTGGCTCAGCCTGTAATACCAACGCTTTGAGAGGCTGAGGTGAGTGGATTGCCTGAGCCCGTGGGTTCGAGACCCGCCTGGGCAACTTGGTGAGACCTCATCTCTACAATAAATCAAAAATTAGCTGGGTGTGGTAGCACGTGCCTGTAGTTCCAGCTACTTGGACGGCTGAGGTGGAAGGATTGCTGAAGCCCAGCAGGTCGAGGCTGCGGTGGCCGGGAGCGACCACTGCACTCCAGTCTGGGCGACAGAGTGAGACTCCAACTCAAAAAAAAAAAAGAAACGGCTCAACTGATAGTTTCATGTTAGTTCACCGTGGTGGGAACTGCTAGTGTGTGGTCTGATGGGAGATGGTTGGTCTCAAATAGCTGGTATTATGGGCCGTTATGCTGGCAGTCCTGGCTGCCTCAAATGTGTCACTTGGCTAAATTTAGTGTAATGTGGTGAGCTATTTTAAAACCAGCTCTATTGCAGTTTCAAAAAGAATAAAGCAACACCCAGACTGCTAAGGGTGGAGGGAATAGTCGAATCCCCTGTGGGACTGGAAACCTGCTTTCCAGACCTCATTTCATCCCCAAAGTACTCGGTGTTCTGTTCTGACCCTCTTGTCTAGGAAAATCCCCAGTGTCCTTGAATCTGGTGCTAACATTACCATTGATCTAAAGTGCAGAGTGATAATAGATAGAACCGATTTTACAATTCAGATTCACTCAGTCACTAAAAAAGGATCTACAAAACATACCCCTGGGTTTGATGCTAGACATGAAATGGTACTCAGAGCCCTCAACTCCTCTTGTCTATGGGAACTCCAGCCAACTTCTACCACTTCCATCTACATGTTGAAAACTCTCAAGTCTGTCAGCTCAGACCTCTCAATTCCACTACCTGCTGGATACAGAAGTGTGTTGTCATCCCTCCCCAAGACTGCTTTTTCCCATTGCATTACCTCTATTTGCCTGGGTGGAAGTTTCAGTCTTTCCACACCAGCCCTAACTAGTCTGGCTCCCATATGCCAACTCAATCCATTCCGTAAGAGACCTAATGTTGGGTGTGGTAGCTCACACAATCCCAGCACTTTGGGAGGGGCCAAGGCAAGAAGATTGCTTAAGCCTAGGAGTTCCAGACCAGTCTAAGGCAACATAGTGAGACCTCATCTCTTTAAAAAAAAAAAAAAGGCAACTCTTTTGGGCCCTCTCCGGCTTGGGAGTTTTTCTGTCTTCCTAATAAACTCCTGATTTAAAAAAAAAAAATTGCCTGAGCCCATGGGTTCGCGACCTGCCTGGGCAACTTGGCGAGACCTCATCTCTACAATAAATCAAAAATTAGCTGGGTGTGGTAGCACGCGCCTGTAGTTTCAACTACTGGAAGGCTGAGGCGGAAGGATAGCCGGAGCCCAGCAGGTCAAGGCTGCGGTGGCTGGGAGCGACCACTGCACTCCAGTCTGGGTGACAGAGTGAGACTCCAACTCACACACACACACAAAAAATTAGCCAGACAAGGTGGCACATGCCTGTAGTCCCAGCTACCTGGAAGACTGAGGCAGAAGGACTGCCTGAGCTTAGAAGTTGGAGGTCACAGCTGTGATCATGACACTGTACTCTAGCCTCAGTGACAGAGTGGGACCCCACTAAAAAAAAAATCTACCAATCCAGGTAGTAGGAAGGTAGGACCCAGAACCTTTAAAGAATATGTCCAGCCAGGCTCAGATAAAGAATATGTAATCCCGTGCCTTTGGGAGGCTGAGGTGAGTGGATTGCCTGAGGCCGCGGGTTCGAGACCCGCCTGGGCAGCGAGACCTCATCTCTACAATAAATTAAAAATCAGCTGGCTGTAATTCCAGCTACTCGGAAGGCTGCAGTGGAAGGATTGCCAGAGCCCAGTGGGTCGAGGCTGCGGTGGCCGGGAGGGGCCACTGCGCTCCAGTCTGGGCGACAGAGTGAAACTCCAACTAAAAAAAAAAGAATATGTCCTTAGCCAGGTGTCAGGGTGCATGCCTGTGGTTCCAGCTACTTGGAAGGCTAAAGTGGCAGGATCACCTGAACCCAGCAGATCAAGAATGAGGTAGCAGTGAGCGTGCCACTGCACTTCAGCCTGGGTGAAAAAGTGAAACCCCAACTCAAAAAAAATGTCCTGAGAAATTCAGTGGTTTTGCTGGAGTTCTGCCTTCTGCCTAGACTACTTTTCCCATTTCTGGTTTGGTTAGCTTGTCCAAGGTCCACACTAGCTTCCTGTCTCACACCTTCTATCTGCAGCATGTCAGGTGCTACTTTTTTTGAGTTGGAGTCTCATTCTGTCGCCCAGGCTGGAGTGCAGTGGCTTGCTCACAGCCACCCCAGTGTCAACCTGCTGGGCTCTGGCGATCCTTCCACCTCAGCCTTCCAAGTAGCCGGAACTACAGGTGCATGCTACCACGTCCGGCAAATTTTTGATGTACTGTAGAGACAAGGTGTCGCCAAGTTGCCTGGGCTGGTCTCGAACCTGCAGGCTCAGGCAATCCACTTGCCTTGGCCTCCCAAAGTCCCAAAGTGCTGGGATTACAGGCTGAGCCACTGAGCCTGACCTTCATTTATTTATTTATTTTTACTCCAAGAACCAATCATTACCTTTTCGAGGCTGACCCTGACCATACTGTTGTGTAAACAGGCACTGTTTGTTTCCCCCTGAGGTTGTAACTCCTAAGGGCAGGACAGATCTCATTTCTCTGTTCCCAAACCTATCAGGGCCAGTGCTTGACTTTAAGTTCTTGATAAATGGAGAGAGACCAGCAGAAAGAGTCCTTGAACTTGAGAAGCTTTGTCTAAAATAGAAACAACCAAAGACAGAGGACATTTGCATAACCTTTAAGTAAGTGAGTTGTATACTGAAAACAATGAACCTTGAGAATCCTTACTTTTTTTTTCTGAGTTGGAGTCTCATTCTGTCGCCCAGACTGGAGTACAGTGGCCGCTCCCGGCCACCACAGCCTCAACCTGCTGGGCTCCGGCGATCCTTCCGCCTCAGCCTTCCAAGTAGCTGGAACTACAGGTGTGCGCTACCACGCCTGGCTGATTTTTTTATTTATTGTAGAGATGAGCTCTCGCCTGCCCAGGCGGGTCTCGAACCCGCGGGCTCAGGCAATCCATTCACCTCAGCCTCCCAAAGGCGTGGGATTACAGGCTGAGCCACCGAGCCCGGCTGAGAATCCTTACTTTTTACCAGGTGTTTTACATGCATTATCTTATTTAACTCTCAACACCCGAAATCACACTTAATAGATTACAGAAACAATCTGAAATTCAGACTATGTGACTCCAGAACCAAAAACTCTTGATCGTACTCAACCTGGCTTGTCTAATGAGCCTGGCCCTGAAATAGTAATGGAAATGGGAAACACGTGGTCCCATTAAATGCTCAACCACTTCCCATGTGCCAGCAATCCTGGCTAGGTCTCTGTGGTTTTTTTCCACTCTTAAACTTCTAATAGAAAACATTAACATTTAAATCCATGGTAAAAATGTACTTATACATTAATTTATTCTTCCTACAGGTACTCTGGCAGGCACTGCACGAGGTCATGAGGATATAAAATGTCCCAAATTAAGAAGCTGGTGCTCTAGTGCTGGGAGGCACATGTAAGTCAGAATTAGTAATAAAGGACTCACACCAAACAAGGGAATCCGGCTGTGGCTGGTACTGAGGGGAAGATATGTCGCTATCACTGATTGGCTATCAGTGTCTCTGCCAGACTGTGCATGCAGACTGT